GATGGCACAAGCCTTGAATGCATAGAGGTAACAGGTTGGAGAATAATGAACTCTAATTTTTGCTTGGAGCAAAGATTAATATTGTGTATGATCTGCAACCACTGTGCTAATTGCTGTGTGTGACACCATGAACTGCAACTTCTCCCCACAGCACTTACATCATCTCAGGCCTGCTTTACTTCAATTTTGGTTTTTCAGGTAGAGGGGTTGGTCATTTTTCAAAGCTTGAGATGTGCATGTATACACAAGTGAGCAGAGTTACAAGTAGATAAACTATTTTCACGGTTAATTTTTAGGCATTGTAACTTGCCTGGACTTTCATCAAGATGAGTATTTCAAATAGGACACAAATCTCCATCAATGATCTAAATAAATACAAATGGCACTCCAAACTATAATGTATGTATATAGAGGTTTAATTCTTTTCATTGCACTGTCAGGCAGTAGTAGCAATGTTCAGTCCAAATAACTACTGGCACCAATGTTATCATGTTGTGTTTAGCAAATACAGTTTTGTGTATTGTGACCAGTGATGGAGGATATGTCACAAAGTAGAATTTTGCATTTGCATCTACTCTTCTTTCTTGAGAGATCCTCATTATCTAATACTTGTTACAGCAAATCACTGCAGATCTGCTGGCACTGTCAGGTATTATAAAATCAGTGTGTGCATGATGCTGGGCTGTAGCAGGAAGCACCACGTTCCAAAATCTCTGCACTGATGTCTGGAGGCATGTGCATCCTCCACCAAATGGTAGATACATGGAGACATGTGCTTTTAAAAAATATTTTTATTTCAATTGATAAATTAGACAGTTAATGCAAAGTTATCTACAGTTAGTGTGGGGAGAGCACAAATAATCCTGTGCTATAAACTAGGAATCCTTATCCCAGAAATTTTAAGCAATCTGCTAGTGAAAGTCTTAAAAAATGTGTAATTAGTGGTTTTGTCTCCAGTGGAGTAGCAGAGCTCCTGTCACAAATGTACTTGATGTTCCAGATCCTACAAAAATTATTTTGTCCCAATTACTTCATGGTCAGTGCATCCACCTGATGTGCACTGGACACTTTGTGCACTTAAATGTGTCTGGCTGCTTATCCTGCAGGCTGCCACGTGAGTCACCACGTTTTATTTACTAGCAAAAAGGGTTGCTGCAGTATAGAAGTGTTCACTCATCAGTGCCTGGTCTGGAACTGGCTCCACATGGCCCCACACATGGATCCAGGACCCGCGGCTCTCCTGCAGCTCACTGTGCCACAGCTCCATCAGCCACCAGCATCCCACAGCCTGGAGGATGCTGGCTGCCACTCAGCAAGGACTCTTTACAGCTGAAGTGATTTAAATCACTGGTTGTGCTCATGATTCAAGTGATAAACAAGGAAATTTGAATTAAATAATTTGAACTTTTTCTAAGTGAGAGCTCATTCCCGTTGATTAAGAAGAGTAATACAAAACGCATGGCTTGCAGCTAGTCACACACTTGTAAAATTTGGCATGGTTGTATATTAACCAGAAAGTGATACTGTATCTCACACAGCTGTGCAGCACTTAGTTAGCTCCAGAAGCTTGTGGTTTGCTTTTTAAATTCTTCAGAAAAGGTTAATGACATTGAAGGAGAGTGGTTGTTTTTTCCTCTAAATTTTTCTCATATAAAACAAGGACTGAAATTAAAGGTCGACCAAAACGTGTAAAACCATGACTTGAAAATTGCAATTATATTTATAAAACACGCTTGCCATATTTAATAGTAAAAAACATTTTCTGTCTTAACTTATATTACCAAATACGGAATTACTAGGTGTGATTTTCTACTTTTCATGTTCGACGTTTCAAGCAGCTTTACTCCGAGCAGTGGATGTTACTGTCAAATTGATTTTTAAACAGTTGGGGTTTTTTAAAGAGCATTTAATCAATCATTAACTACTTTGGTTAAAATTCATGAGATTTTAAATATTCATAAATTCTCTTTGCCTTCATGTGTGGGTCCAAGCCGGGCTGGCAGTGCTGCTGCTCCTGCTTCCCCTGGCAAACTGATGGAACCACCAGCTCACAGGGCTCACACCATGCAGGATGTGCTGCCAGACCTTCAAGTTAGCATTGCTGCTGTTTTACCACAAAAGTTGATAAATCTCTGATAAAATGAAAAGGAAAGGAACCCTGGGAAAAAAAGTCATTCCTCTACCAGTAAAGTGATTTCTTGACTGTTGAAAAGTTACAAGTAAGACAGAATAATCGTTCTCAATTTGGAGACCTGTAGGGCCGTGGTGGAGGGTTTTAAAAGTACCTAATTTAGCATTTCACTTGAAAACCGAGTGCCACAGTTTCATAGTTGCCTGTGAGTGCTTCAGTGGTCAGAGAATTTGGGATGCAGTGCACATTTGCCCTGTGCTAAAGCAGTGCCTCTGGAGTTTGTTGGTGCAGTTGTCTTTGCCATCCTGCAAACACATCCTGTGCTGTGCTGGGAAGGGGTGGCACCAGCTCCTAGTGCTGAATCCTGGGCTCTTTGGGGCAAGAGCTGAGCACAGAACTGCAGCAGGGCACACACAGCCACAGAAATGCATCCTCTTAATTATTATAAGGCAATGCCAGGAAATCAGGAGGTTGTGTTCTGGGGGTGCTTCCTCTTCTTCAGGGAGTCAGAAATCAGTCTGGGGGCTTTGCTGACCTGTAGAGCCCCCAATGGCAGCACGGAGCATCCAGCTGGCCCTTCCAAATCTGAGTCCCAGCTAAAGGTCAACAAATGGGCTACCTCCAATGATTTAGAATGTTTAAGTTTACACAATGTATTTCCTTATTTTTAATAATTTATCAACTAGCACGCTATCACTGTGATACAGAAGGGCAAAATGCAGGTGGCCTTCTTTGTTGTTGATAATCACAGGATTAGAAACAGAGGTTTTTGCCTTTACTTCTTAATAAAAGAACGAATGGGTAGATGGATATTTGCAGCCCTGAGCTTCACTATCCATTGATTTATCCACTTGGATGTGTGCATACAGCTTCTGTTTCAACAGTAGCAGCTTCAAGATTGCTGAACAAATGGAGATAGATAGTTGTGGGGCCTTTGCCTTCATTCTACTTTTATTATCTCCAGATTTACTTTATATGCTTACTGCCCCTGCTGCAGAGCAGCCAGGCATAGTTTTAACAGTGTTTTCTGGTGTAGTTAAGATAATGTAACAGAATTAAAGTTGTTTATGGAATAGGTTTGCATGGAGGAAAATTCCTAACATTTAGACTACAATATTTAGGTAATATTACCCTGTTTTTAGTAGAGTCAACTGAAAATAAAGAACTCTGTAAAAGGCGGGAAAAATTTCAAAATTATTTTTTACTCAGGGAATGTACATTTCTTAAAAGAGTAAACAGGTTTGGGGAAACTTCCCCTCCCTGAATTTGTTGTTGCAAACTCCATGACTCTGTAGGTGTTACAATGCTAATCCTGTGTAATGGGTAATGAAAGTATTTAAAATGTTAAGGAAACCTGCCCCTTCTTTCCACCCAGATGGGGATGGCATCGATATTGGCCTGTGAAACGAGAGCTGGCTTCAGCAAGTTACTGATAAGGGAGAACTGAAGCAAATGCTATTCTTTGACTGCTGTAATATGACAGTCCCGTTGTCATTTCAATTTATTTTGAATAAGTATTTTACATGGTTCAGTACAGCTGTCTGTCCAGAAACCTACAAGCTGCTGGAAAAATGTAAAACTTTGTGTAAGTTTTGCAAGGAGAAAACCACTCTTTCATTTTCTCCCTCCTGAGGCCTTGCTGAGCTTTGCAAGTTTACCTCATGTTTCCTGAGCTAACTGTACTCTTAAATCACTTCATCTGTTAGATGTTTGCAAATTTACTCCTCCCGATTTTAATTTAAATTTCTGAGTGGTAGCTCTATTATAGTACCATTGGTTTTGAGCCTGTTGTAATTCTGTCAATTACCTATTCATGATGTAATATTTTGTATGGGACAAGAATATATTGAGTAGTATGCTTAATAGAAAACATTATGTAGTGTAGCTTTTAAAAACCAAAAGCATGAAAATGAATATGACAACTCAGTAGAGCTTGCTTTGCAGTTCACTTCTGCTGCTAAACTTGGATTAAAGGTATAGTTGGCAGTGAATTTAGTTTTATGGCATTTAAGAAAGGCTTAATTCTGATCTTTAACCTAGATGCCTTTATATGTATCACATTTGGTTCTTTTGGTCTTGAGTATTTCTGCTTTTCTGTGCGATTTGCTTGGTCACACATTGAAGGTAAAACAAAACCCCTCCATTGTGTGCATGGTCTTCTGGAGGAGAAAAAGCATTTGAGGAAGGCTGGTGTTTAGGAACAGGATGTCAGGGGTGCTGTGTCACCCACTGAGAGCTGAAAAGGCAGTATCTGTATCAGCACTGGAGTTTGGTTCTGTTTCTTTTCCCTCCTCACTTCCCAGGGTGATTGACTGGTTTGCATCTAATGAAATTTTCATGCACATGCACAGAACAGTGGGATTCTGAGGAGAGAGATTAATATTTCAATAATTATACCATGCCTGTATGTCACTGGAGTCCTTGGTGCACCCACAGAGGAGCCCTGGCTGTAGGCAGCAGTTCACAGGAATGTCAGCAGGAGGAAATCCAACTGTGGGGGTTTGTTGCTTTTGGCAAAATATGTGTGTGGGGAAATAAAGAAAGAATGCATGTGAATGTCCTTTCCTGGAAATAAATATTTTGAGGCATAGATGGGTACTGAGGTAGTTTAACATGGGGAGAAAAAAGCCACTTGTTTCTCGGGCTATGGCAGTAACTTTAGGGTGCTGAATGTCACTTAGTGATGCCAAGAAAAGGCATCAAGGCTGGAGTGTGGCTCAGCAGTGTCACTGCTCTGTCTTTTCATTTGGGGGATTGCCAGGTGCTCTCTGCCTTGTGCTTTCAACGTGCCTGGTCAAGGCTGGGCTGCTGGGATATTTCACCTTCCACAGACTCATGCATCCATTTCTCCTGTCCCTCCCTATTGCAGAGAACAGCCCATCTTCACCACCAGAGCCCATGTCTTCCAAATTGACCCCAGCACCAAGAAGAACTGGGTTCCTGCAAGCAAGCAGGCTGTTACTGTTTCCTACTTCTATGACAGCACGAGGAACAGTTACCGGATTATCAGTGTGGATGGAGCCAAGGTAGGAGGCTGGAGGTGCCCGGTGTATTCTGTGTGCAGAGGTGTGGGACTGCAGCCCTGGCTGAGCACACACAGGGGCTGCATTAAATACAGTGTGAATATTCCATTTTTTATATCATCCATTATGGAGACTTGTAGTAGTAATTGGAAAAACACAGGGCACCCTAAAAGTGATTTTTGCCCGGCTTCGTTGATTTTATCTCTGAGGAATTTGACTTCGTGATAAGTGAGCCAAGAACTTTAAGTGTCCAAATTGAGTCAGTAGCAAAAACAGCCACCTGTATTAGGGTAGATAAGGCTGAGGCCTTTTTGGTGATAAAAATGTTCTTTCTAAAAGGAATGAGGAGACAGATACATGTGGACTGTAGCTTTTAATGTAAATGTCAGCTGCATTTTCACTTTTGCCTGGCTGAACTATTTACAGTTTAGTACTTAATTTTCTTCAGCTTTCGCACTGGAGTTCATCAGCCTTAGGTGACAAGTTAGGCATGAAGGCTCTTCCCCCAACTTTTTTTGTTAATTTGTTTTGAATTGCCAGAGAGTGTGCTCAAGTATTTGCTGTAAGAATCCGAATCAGTCGGTCTAAATAGATTGCTCAGACAACTGTTTTTATTACAAACTACGTTTATCCCTCTGATTAGCCCCTCCAAAGCTGCTTGAGGGGTGACCACTTTCCTCTAGCAGACCCCAGTCAGAGGTATAAATGAAAACATTTTGGTCATGTAAAAAAATGATTGGTCATTTCTGTCAGAGCACAAACCATGGGATAAGTAGATGGGTTTACAGCCTGTTTATCTGTGTTCCTGTTTAGATAAGGATGTTAAAATATCACTCTTCTGGGAGATAGAGATCACAGAAATCATCCGTTATTAAAGTTTTCTATTTGTCTATGCCTATTTCACATACTTGTTTTTCCAAACATCTCCTGTGCTATATTTGGTTATATATTGGCTTATAAATCAGCCATACTGCCTGCTTTAATTGATGGTAATGTTTCATTGACACCAGTACAGCATTAATATCTCCCCATCACGATGCTGTTTGTGCCAGTGTGTTCATTCCCAGGAATGCTGCAGTTTGCAGCTGGCACACACAGCCTCTGTCACCTGCTGGGGCAGCTGAGCCCCCTGGATTTGCTTACACCCCATGGATGTTTGTGCTGGGGCTGCTGCTGCTGGGCTGGTGGCTTTACAAACCCAGGCAAGTGCAACTTCCAAGCCCAAACTGCTGCACTCACAGCAGAGGTTTACTTGATTTGTGGGTGTGCATGCGTGCATTAAGACCAATTAATAAAACAAAGTAATTACTGCATGTGACGGGGGAAGCCACAGGGGCAGCGTATGGCCACAGCCAGAGGTCCTGCCCAGAACTGCAAAGTGTGTGCAGGGAACAGGCTAGGCACCCAAGCTTTGCTTTGTCACCTGCTCAAAAGACACTCAGAAGGAATATTTCCCTCATCTCCCATTTTAACATATCCCAGAGGAAGGTGAGCTTGCCATGATTAAAATTCTCCCCTGGGGCTTCCCAAGCAAGAATCAATTGCTGGCCACATGAATTATTCCTCTTGTATTGAATCTTTGCTGATTAAAGAACAGGTCAAGAATAGATGCTACCTTCATGCTCACCTCTGGAGAGTCCTGTGACCCTGCCTGTCCATTTTAAGAGTGCTAATTGGGGAAAAAAAATCCCGATGTTTATGCCAAAAGAAGTTAAAAGTTGAATTTTTCCCTTCAAACAACTATTGTTTAGTATTTTGACCTACTTTTCCAGGCAAAAATGAAACTGGGTAGAACTGTAAGGAAGAATATAGACAGCTTCAGATGATGGTGTCCTGCTTTCTGTACATCCCATTAGAATAGTCTTCCGTGTGTTGGCAAATACCAGATGGATTAATGTGACAGCATCACTGTGGGCATAAGTTATGTCTGCTTTAAGGACAAAAAAGCTGAAGCTCAAGTAAATGAAGGGACTTGGCCCTAGAAGGAAGGCAGTGATGAAGGATGTGTTCTCTTACAATTTTCCATCCTTGTCTGCTCTGCAAAGGGGCTGTTCTAACAGTTTATTTTAGACAAACATATATGATTCATGTTCGCTTGCAGAGAAATTGCAGTTAAATCCAACTTGTATGAAGATGTTGGATTCATTTGAGGTTCTTTTTTTTACCTTATGTTGACATTACATACTAATGATAAAAATATTTTGAAGAGGTAAAGAATACAGGGTACTTCATTTGTATACTGGTCATCACCTGCATAAGCTTGATTTTATTTGTAGTATTTAACGTGTCCCCCTGGGCAGTGTTGAATTGCAGTGTGTGGAGGAGCTGGGAGCTGCTGGAGGCCGTGAGCAGAGCACAGGGCAGGCTGTGCAGTGTCTCCCCGATGAGTCCTTTCCTCCTGATGCAGCACTGACCTGATGGGCTGTGATCCTCGCAGGGGAGGCTTCCTCAGGCAGCTGCTGCTGTCCTCAGAGGTCTGGGCCCTCTGCAGTGCCCTGTCCTTCAGTCCGTCCTCTCTTCTCCCAGCAGGCACAGCCGGTCCCCATCTCCTCCTTGCCTCTTGTCCCCACTCACCCAGGGTGCAGGGCAGAGAGGAGAAGAAGGATTTAGCAGTGGGCTTAAGGTGGGGATTAAGGGAACTGCTGAGCCCATGTGTTTAAAGGTGTAAATATTGGTAACTCTGTTTGTGAGCCTGGCTGGCAGAGGAGCTGCCTGGCTCTGCTGCCCACTGCCTTTGCTTACCCCGTGGGGAAGGATGGGAGAGTCTGGATGCTGCACATGGAGGTGTTGAGAAAAATGGAATAGAAAGAGAGAGTAGGGTAAAGATGGGAAGCAGAGTCTAGGGAGCTTAACTCTTCCCTTGCAGAGGAATATTCAGGAGTCCAATATGCAGGCCAGCCAGGAGAGAGCATACCTCCTGCAGGTGCCAGGTTTCTTTCAAATGCTCCCATCCCAATAACAAACCTATTAAAATACCTGGGGAATGAAGCACTGCAGAGAGGAGACCTTAGATTCAAAACAGCTTGTACCACTTTAATTCATCGTGTTTGCAAAGATAAAGACAACAGCTCTTCTAATTCTTGTGTGTTTCACAGAAAAACAGGTGCTGTGGACAGCAGCTTACAATTTATAGCAAAAGATTTCACAGATAATGAGAATGCACTGGATGATCTTAACCAAGATACCATGACCAAACAAGGGAATAGATTAGTATATCTTTTAATTACATACATAATTGACTTGCATGTTGTCAAGCAAGTAATCTCATCATGTTTTAAGAAGTTTCTAGCCAGAGGCTAACTGAAACATAATGAATGCTGGAGGAAATGATACAGTAAAATGCAAGGGCACACACTGATTTAGAGTTAATGAGGCAGCCAAGAGACTTCACCATGTGAAAGTGCCCAGTCTTGTGGACAAAAGTCAACCCTGTTGAAAAAAGACAAATATGGTGATGATGCAGGCAGGACCTGAACTTGTAAGTGTCCAATTGCTGTGCAGTGTGTGGGGAAAGCCACACACAGGGCTCCTCATTAAAAGTGACCTACATTGGCCTGCCTTTTGAAGGCAAAAAGGAAGTTTGACAGTATGAAAATTATGCAGACCAATAGCCTCTGTCATCCTCAGGATTAAGTAGTACCCTGGTTGGTGGGTTTATTTATTTTTTATAAACTGAAATTACGTGCTATCCAAACAGTATAGAGAAGAGGGGAAGGAATTTGAGATGGAAATATAATCCCCCAGAAACAAGCCTCTGCCCTCTTTTCAGATGTTCATGTTGTATTTCTATAAAACTTGTGATTGCAACAACATCATTTTTCTCTTTTGAGAAATGAGCCGTTAATAAGGAACATAAAGCTAGCTTAAAAATTAATAGCCAGCAATAAAGTGCATAGTGAGACATCCTGAGCTGGCAGCAGCAAAGAAAAGTGACGCAGCAAGAGTCATCACAGATGCCAGTCCCCAGTTGTCTCTGAGAGATGCTTAAACAGATGACTAGAAAAAATTAAAATGAGGCTTTAAAAGATTACTACGTTGCAAGAGTGATTGTGGAAAATACATCATACAGAAATAAAGACTGTGTGTCAGAGGAAAAAATGTCAGCTGACACTCATTCCCAGTTACTAGTTCATTTAAGAATTTATTACCTGATAATTACCTCAAATATTGGAGATCAGCAGCTAAGTTGGGCATAAGTGTGTGAAAGTATTGAAGAGAGAGCCAAAAAAATTGCTGTGCTGGGAAAGCAAAATCAGTGGGTCTGTTTCTGAAGTAAATTGCAATTAGTAAGAATAAGAATATGGGCCAAATTTTGCAAATCAGTATTCACAGAGTGTTCCCCAAAGTGAATACAGTACATTATATGGTGTGATGAAGCTGTTTGATCAAGTGGCATCTATGCAGGGGACAGTGTGATTTACAGAGGACAATGAAGCTGGCAGGGACACAGCCCCAGCAGCCTGTGGCAGCAGATATTTAGAGAGGTAAGAAGGCCTGATATGTAAATCTGCTAATAGTTGATATATTGCTGGCTTTCTCGGTTCCTGTACCAGGGAACTAATTACTACTTAATTTAATAGCTGCCCACCTTTTTATGACCACGCTTTTCTTGTTGTCATGATTGGAGGCAGGTGTCCTCAGCACACAAAGAGGAAATTGAGTTCTTCCAGTGATGTGTTCAGAGGCTCAAAACAGATCTTTTTCTTTGCCCATGGAAAAGGAATTATTTTAAGGCATAGTTGTTAAAAATATCCTGGAGTATTTTGCCAAAAGGTGACTCTTAGATTTCAGAATCTTTTCTTTCAAAGGAAAACAATTACAGGGTATGGTAGCACAGATGAAATTCCTTCATCTGGCTAGATATTTTCATTCTTCTTTTTTCTTCCACTGACGTAAATTCAACCATTAAACCAATAGCAACTCTTCTGCAGGAAAAAACCTACCAAGTAATTTATATATTACAAAATTTTTGGCAGTGAATTATAAAAGGCTTCCGGCAGTGT